GTCCTCCTGGGGTGATGGAGCAGGGGTTGGTGGCCCCAGGGGGTGACAGGGGGTCCCCAGTTGTCAGCAGCTGGAGGACCCTGGAGAGGGGCTGGGCAGGGGCAGACAGGGCTGGGGTGTCACACAGAGGGGCTGGGTGACAGCCCCAAGTGACAGACCATGTTAAAGGGGTTTTGTATTAAAATGACACATGTGGTATTGTACAGTTACAGACTAAGCTGCAGAGAGAATCTCCAGTGGTCATGTCCCAGGAGAGACCAAAGGATGGGAATCAGCAGCACAGAACCAGGACTGGGCTGTACCCAGCCTTCCCCTGCCCTCTCCAAGCTGTGGCCTGAGCAGGGAGCAGCTTGTCCAACGGGATCTTGGAGCTGGCACCACAAACAAGGATCCCTGCTCAAGCTAAAGTCATGTAAGGCTGAGCTGCTGCCAGATGCATAATACACACACAACTACAAGCAGATATTCAAACAAAGAGCAATGAGCAACTTGGGGAATGTATAACCAATCTTCCCTCAAACATACAGCAGTTTACCTTTCAAATAGAAAGTAAAATAAAATAGCTTATTTCCATCTATAAATTGTCCCACTGCAATGAGGTAAACACAATACATGTGTGTGTTCAGGAGGAGTGAGATGATCTCATAATACATTTATATCCTCACATTCTTTATTCTTGCTATTTATTTTTGTTAGAAATCAGGAAGTGTTCATGGAGCTGGAAATTAAAATTACTTTGAATGTCTTGATATTTTATACAGAAAGGACTGATACTAAACCACCATTGTGCCAAGTCAGCTCCTTGCAAGGTCAGAGCTAGGAAACAACAGTCCAAACAACAGTCCTGGGCAAGTATTTGTAATGCAGAATTGTTCCTTAATATACAGATGATTTTCTGTTTACTCCTTAATAAATTGGGTAAAAACAGAGGCATGATTGCTGCATGTATGACTAAGAAGTGGTGGCAGGCAAACATCACTCAGGCAGCATCCAGCAGTTTTACTTCCCGCCAAGGATGGTAATGTGGGTATGTTGAACATATTTATCTTTTGTGTTCTGTAGTTCAGCCTGTCAGCTACAACTCATGTTTTTCATCATTTTGGCTGCAAAAACAATACTCACCATAGGAATAGTTGATGAAAATAAAGTTATTAATACAAAGACATTACCCTTTCCCATGTTAATTTACACCATTTAAGTACAGCTGGGCCAAGGAGAACAAAAATCCAGCAGTCAGTGCAGTTTTAGAACAACTGCAGTTTTAGAACAGCTGCAAGAGTTCTCATCTCCACTTGAAGGTACCATTCATTCAGTTCTACAATGTTTTGTTTTGAACTGATACCCCTTTTGCTTTCACCTGTTATATTACAAGAGTTTTATGTGTTTCTGGTGAGAAAAAGAGCAGCTAGGTCCTCACTCTACAAATGCTTTTATGGATGGAGTCAACATTAGCAAATATAGAATGCAACTGCATTTCTGGGACTAATTAAAAGAGTAGGGTACTAATGGGAAAGGTGGCTGAAAAAGAATGTGAGCCTCACTGAGCAGGGCTCACAGTAACTCCATATTTATGAGGTGACTATCTCCCTACTATATCTCTGCTCACTGCCACCCAGGCTCTGATTGGTGCTGAAATCAGCACTGATATCAGATAATTGTGTAATTTGATTTGCTTTAACTTTTTGAGAACAGTGTTCTCAAATGGTTCCATGCTGAAAACCCCACAGTTCACACTTGCTACTAATAGCCGTCCTACAAATAAACTTAATTTATGTTTATTAGTTGCTTTAAATTCATGGAAGTGCCTAAAACAAGTACACGAAGAAACCAAATCTTTGTAGGATACATTCCAGTGCAATGACAAAACAAAAAAGAAAAAGAGACAAAGCAACAGAGAAACAAAGGAAAAAAAAAAACAAACCTACCATGAATCTGCTCATAAATTACTCTATTGTTTTATTGGCATTACAGATTAAAATACTTATTAGATTTCATTAGATTCTAAAATTTTACCCTGAACTGTGCTAAAATTTGCAATTCTCTTATTTCATGGGATGGAAGATTTAAAATGTGTTGATATGAAAGCACTGTAATGGCATTACCAAAGTGTTTTTCTTAGGTACAATTCAGATATATTTCATAGTGAGAAAACATTGCAATAAAATATACCAAAATAAACACTTAGCAATACCATAATGAAATATTTTGACATTATTGAGATGAAAAGAGAAACTTTCAAATACAAAAGTAAAAAGAAATTGTTCTGAGACTCATAAGATACTAAAATCTTCTCCAAAAAAGCATTTTCATTCACAAAAAACAGTGTGTTTTGTCATAAAATAGTTCTCTTACCTTTTTTCCTTGCTTCTTCATGTTTTCTTTTTCTTCAACAGCCCTAGGGATTATTCCCTTTTTAAAAAAAATATAAAGAAAATCCTACATGTGGGCCCAAAAGTACTACAGCTTTGTTGTTAATGTCTCTTTCTGAGGAATATAAATAAAAGCATACAAATCCCTCTCTGTCTCTTTGTGCTCCACGCTTTCACAGGTTCCACCCTTTGCTCATTTTCTGACCCATATTCTCTCTACCCCAAGTTTATTCATAACCAAACCAATGGCAGGGACAGATATCATCGATTTGCTGTGTCAGGATGGGCACCAGGCACCTTTCCCTCTGTGGCTCTCTCAAATGATTAAAATGTGTGTCCAGGTCCATGAAATGAAAAGAATTATAATGAAAAACAGATATTTCATTGGTCAAATTAGTTCAGTGTAGTGGTGCAAAGTTGTAGCAATAGGGGATCTGCCCAAACCGAAGAAAACTAAACAGGTTCTGAAGTCTTTCCACTGTTATGTGTCGCTATAGGACACGTGAAAGCACAATGTGAGCCACTGCTATTTCCAAGGTAAAGAAGAAGGTTTATTTTCTGACTCCAACTTTTATACTTTTCCAAAGGTGACAGTGGATTGGAGAGTGAATGTGCCACCTCTCCGAAGACATTGGGAAACTACTAGTACATCAAGTTTCTCCACCCCTAAGAAGGAATGCAAAACAATATGTTGTTTATAGAAAATGTGTGAGAAAGTTTTCTAACAGAATGTAAACTCAGAATGCTTTAGAAAATCCAAAGAATCACGGCGACAGTTATGCCCTTCCCTTTTCCCCTCTGAAGGGAAGGATGAAAGCTATGTCCATACTGGAAACAAAAACTGCCATAACTGATGTGTTATTTTAATCAGAACTGTGCTGCATGCTGCTGTTCCTCTGGAGAGTCTTTATTCATAAAATTTGCAGTGCTGGGTCAAATGCAGCTCCTGCTAGAGTGGGGTTGATGGCTTTGCACAGGCTGTGATGCAAAGCTGGGGCAGGATGGAGCCCTCAGCTCTCCAATCATCTCTCAGTGCCCACACTGGCCTGGGCAGGAGGGAGAGACTGGTCTGGTGAGAAGTGAGAGCCTGACTGATGTCCATGCTTCACCACTGAAGCCTAGGAAAATTGTCCTAATGTGCTTTAATGTTTTATTTCAGCTTTGTAACACAAAATAATTTTAACTGAATTATGATGGAAGAGCAAAAAGACAATAATAGCAATTTTTGAGAAATGAAGTGCACTAGCGATGTTTTCAACATATCAACTCACATTTTTCTTGATTCTAAAGCATTTTGCTCAATAGTTGAAATAATTAAGAAAAGACTTATTGTTTCCTGTCCTCCATGGCAGAATGAGAATTGTTGCTGCAAGGTATATTTTTTCATTATCAAAATAAGAGCAATGCAAATGACATTTGTATAAAATGACACTACTTCAATAATAAGTTTGCCATTTTAAACATGAATTCATCCAGAAGGCAGATATTCTATAAGAAAAAAGTCAATATTTCTCCATATGTAGATCTGCCTTAAGACTAACCATACTTTTCACAGGCTTGGAACAGTGCCTGCATTTTGTAACCAGATCCTTTAGAGCTCGTGCAGTCCATAGCACATTGCCCCTTCCCAACTCTCACAGTTAATTGACTGGAAAGCTCACCAGGTCTTTTTACAGAAAAGTTCAGGTTCTTCTCTGACTTATTTTGTATCTCTCAAAGCCATGTAACATTTACAGATGTAACGTGTATAAAATGCAGGCACATCATTTCTATGATACAACTCTTAATTCATACAGTCTGATTTTTTCTTCAGTCCTGTGGAATGTTGAGTAGGTGGAATCAGCTGGCCAGGTGTAATCAATAGGGATGGAAAGGAAGACAGCTGCACCAAAATGCAGCTTTTTAGGTCCTTTGCTATTTTTGGTTGACCTCATTAGAATTCCTGCCTTATTCATTAAGTCTCTGCTTCAGCAAAGCATGTAAGGCTATAGTTACAACAAACACTCATCTGAATGAATAAATTATATTATAGTTAAATACATTACTTTTTCCCTGAATGGGTGTTTTAGCACTTTATTTTTAGAAGTAAAAGAGAAAATGACAAAGAGGAAAATGCAGTTATGTAATATCTCATTATTTTGCACAACCTGGATAATAAACTTAATCTTATCTAGTATGCTAAATAACTTGGAGAAGTTCTTAGTCATCTAGTCAACACACCTTGAAATTTGAGGGTAATGTTTATTACAGATGCATAAAGCTCATTACTAATGAATAAACATTCATTTTACATCACTTACTTTAAATTCATGTAATTCTTTAGCCATTGTGCCTATTCATGTAAGGAATTTAAAGTTTAACTGATTTAGCATTATCCATTAGAAACAGAAAGGAGGAAAGAGAAGGGGGAGTACACATTTTTTGCACTGAGTTGGTTCACATACAACTTTAAGGACTTAATTTCCAGTTTAGAAGAATAGCATTTGCACTGGAATAAACTATGACATGTTTAGTACCGTAGTGGGTTTTAGAAACAAACTTATAAGGAAGCAATTAAGATCTTTTTGGTGAGATATGTTCTGTAAATATAATGAAGAGCATAATTACTGGGGACAAACAGGAATATTTTTTTACTTTCGTTTAAGGATCAGAACTCACCCACATCAAACAGCTACAATGTGGTATTGCTAACCTGAAAAAGAAAAAGGGCAGAGAGCTTGGCTTCAGTTTCTCACAAGTGAAAAATTAATAATGATGGTGCAAATGTGGAGATGCTTTTAGTAACTCAGAACTCGATCCGGCTTTGCGGAATCCTCCAGCAGCATGTCTCCAGCTATCACCAATAATCAATTTCTGCATGAGAATCTTAAGAAACAGCAAAGACAGCAATCTTACTCCTTACACGAGTCCAATAATCCATGCCTTGTGAATGTGCAAAGGTAGAGTTTAGATAATGTTTTAGTATTTTTAAGAAGTTTTATCTTCCAGCAGTCTAGTCTCACTTTGAAGCTGTCAGCGGGGGTCTTCGCAGCTTGCTGTGACCATGAACTCCTCTGTATATCCTCATTAGTTTGTTTGGCCTGCAACTTCACATCAGAGTTCCAATAGTTCTTGAATTATGAGGAACAATCATCAGTTCCCTCTCTACCTTCTCAGTTTCACTCATGATTTTATAGTTCTGTCAAAAGCTCCCTACAGTGTCTCTTCTCTGAGCTGAGGAGTTCTTGTCTGTCTAATCCTTCCTCTGAGGGTTGCTCTGTAAATTTTTTCATCATTATTGCTCTTCTCTGTACTTGTTCCGTTATGTCCTTGCAGTGGCAGGGAGAGAGATTTCCCAGCAATACCCAGGTTTCATGTGCATGAAGTGCCATTGCATTTTTCAGTTTTGTTCTTTACATCTTTGCAATAACTCATAAACATCCTATTTTTTTTCTGTTGACTGTAGTTGACTCCTGAACTAACATCTTCACAAGCCCTATTACTAACCTCTGAAATCTCTTTCCTCAGATACAATGGATAGTTTAGCACACCTCACTCCAAAGGTAAAATTATGTTCTACATGGATATCATTGTTTTTTTACTTTTTCCATGTTTAGTCATTTATCCTACTAAGCTTGAATATGCCTGGTAACTCAGTATTGAGGGTTTACTGGCAGTTGAATTAACAACTTTTTCAGTTCTAAAGGTCCTCTGCACCATCAACAAATTCTGCTGTTTCACTTTTCAGTCTTCAGATATTTTTTGTATACATGTAGCAACAGTGTGAAACTATGAGACTCCTAGAATGGTTTTTCTTGTATTGACAAAACTGACTTTTTATTCCTACCCTTTCTTTCCAATTTTTGAGTATTTATTTGCTCATGAGAGACCCTTGGAAGTAAAGAATAATTTGATCTCTTTGATGGGCTGTTGAAAGGTTTTTGAAGCACAAGTGTACAATAGCAAATGATTATTGATTCTGTAAAGGATGAGCAAGACCAAACTTCGTTCTATAAAATTCACATTGATTTTTTCAGGGATACCACATTTGTCTGTGCATTTTCTGACTGTTTTCTATATTATATACTCTACTCATTGTCTGAGCACTAGTCCCCAAATCTCTCTTTTCTAAATTTTAATGTAGTGGAGTTTTGATTTTTCTTTTGCTACTCAGGTCATTTAAAGAGGAAGGTGAGAAACCACTTTTAGTTGAATGCTATTTTTAAAATGTTCAAGACCCTTTAGAACTCTGACAACTTATTACTATGATGTTAGCTTTTACTGCTTTTATCCTATGAGATGGATCTTCCAAATGGTTTCCTGCAAAGATTCTATCATGTTCTTTTCAGGTATCAAATGTGCAAAGAACTGATCTTACTTCACCCAGCTTCTGTCATCAGCAACACTCAAGGTACTTCTCAAAAGATAAGTACAATCCCTATTATAGCAAAGGAAAGCAAACTGAGAGATGAAGGGCTGGCTTTAATAAAGGACTGACATCAGGACCATGTGCATAAATAAATTGTTACCTCTTCACTGATTTCACCTCTTCTAGAAAATTTGACATGAATATCCCATAACAGTTTAGGATGTCTTGAGCCTGGATTAATGCACACCCCCTCAGTGGAGATGGAAACATTTTCCTGACTCTATTTTGATCATTAGGCTGTGCTGCCTGGTATCTGAGCTTACTTTAAAAGGTCTTTTTACAGTAATTAATAAACAAAGTCAGGATTTATTTGGGGTTGCCCAGATTAAAAAGAATATATGAAAATGTCCAAGATAGGAGCAACCCTATTGTTTCAGAAATAGTTACAATACAAAATCAGTCTATGCATAAAAGAGATTTAAATCACAGATTCACAGAATATCCTCAGTTGGAAAGGACCTACAAGGGTCACCCAAGTCCAGCTCCTGACTCTGCACAGGGCAGCCCAAGAATTGCATCATCTGCCATAGAGCATTGTCCAAATATCTCTTGAGCTCTGCCAGGCTGGTGCAGTGACCACTGCCCTGGGGAGCCTGTTCAATGCCCAGCCACCCTCTGGGGAAGAACCTTTTCCTGATATCCAACCTAAACCTCCCTAACACAGCTTCAGGCCATTCCCTGGGGTCCTGTCACTGTCACCCCAGAGCAGAGATCAGAGCCTGCCCCTCCTCTTCCCTCACAAGGAAGCTGTGACTGCAGTGAGGTCTCCCCTCAGTCTCCTCCAGGCTGAACAGACCAAGGGACCTCAGCCCCTCCTCCAGACCCTTCACCATCCTTGCTTCCCTCCTTTGGACACTTTCAAGGAGCTAAATGTCTTTCTCATATCGTGTCACCCAAAATTGCACACAGCACTGGAGGTAAGCCTGCACACTTCATTGTAAATGAACACAGAGATGAGGGCAGTTTCCAACAATCTTTGGTTATAAATTCCTGGTGCCTGTGCCTTGTGCCTCAGCACTGCTCATGTTTGCATACTAACTAATGAACACACCCCTCATTTAAATCATTGCTCCCTTGTCTGGTATAAACAGGCTGCAGCAATTCTGTAGCTGGCAAGCAAGGAAAAGAGAAGAGGCTAAACAAGATTAGCAGAATATCAAAGCATCCTCTTTAATTACCTGCTACAATATGTTCATTTATTTTCATCTCCAAGTAACTTTTTTTGCCATTCACACCTGATTGATCACATAAGAATAGGGCTGGGAGCTGGGAGAGTCTATTCATTATCTTAAAGGTTGTTATAGTGGGTGCTTTTATTAATCAGATTTTTAAGAGGAAAGGTATATGAGGTTGGCCACCACCATTCAGAAAACTAATGCTGGAAGCAAGGACCTAGGCAAGTGCCACTCACACAGGCCAGCTAATCTAATTGATAATGGTCCTATTAATTTGGAATTGAATATTAACAGCCTGCAGCACTGGATCATCTTCATACCATTCTCATTATATCAAGTCCTCATTCATTTGGAAGTATAACAAGTGCATGGTGTTAATACCAAAATTAAATGGAAGGATGTAAATTGGAAAGAGATATTTATTATTAAGTGTTTACAGGAAAGAAATAAGCATTTTAGTTCCACTATCATTTAACTAAGTCTGCATAGGAACACCTGAAGAAGTTACATGAATGCAAGCTGATAATTAGGAGTTTAAATTAAGGATTAATATTTACTTCAAAAGTAGCGAAGTAGAAATACGAATTTTGTCAGCTGCAAAGGAGTCCCTGTGCGTGTTGCTAAATCACCACAGTTACATAGTGCCTTTCTGAGAAGTGTCTGGGTCACTGTGAACATCCTGCTCAGACTGTGGCATGGACAGCAGGATGCAAGCAATTTGCAGGGCTGCCAAGTTATTAGTCTCTACAGGCTTAGGCATGGGAGAGTTTCTAGGACATTTTGCACAGCTAACCTCTCTAGAAGTGCTCAGAGCAGAACTTCAGGCACTTAATAAATTTTACAGCTGAAAATTGAAGAGCTCTTGACCCTCTGCTACCCAAGCATTTCTTGCAGATTGCTGTCATAGACCCTGGTGTATAAATTCTTCCTGTGTTGCAGTTCAAGCATGGATCTGTTTTGCTTGAAGTCATAGGTGATTCTCTAATATAATTTATGTTTTATATAGCATGTTAAAAAATGTTAAACAAGCCAGTTTTATCCAATATATAAAGAGAGAAATTAACAGGTACCAATGGTTTTCTGTGCTGTGATAACAATTATGGGTGTGGGCAACAATATTTTTTCTTTCAGTGTGAGAAAACTTTTCTCCAAGGCAGCTCAGGTTTATTTATTTATTTACTTGTTATTTGGCGTCATGCTTCTGGTATGTTGTGTCCAGAGTAGTTTTTGTCCCACATTTTCAAACAGATGGGTATGATTTGGCACAGCTGGGTTTATCCTACCAGTTACACAGCTTGGAATAATCTTGTCTGGGTTAGGGTAAAATGAGTCATAGCTTCCCAAAATCATTTGTCACTGTTGTAAAATTAAAGACAATTGGTCCTGATTGGTAGTTTCTGCTCAAAAAAAAGAAGTTTGATTTGAAGGAGCAAGACTGCTGCAGATAAAAACATGAGGGCTCATCTCAGAACTGCTTTATTTGAAAAACTTAGGTCTACAATTTGATATATGGTAATTTTTTCTCTACTCACACAAAACGAAAAAGTTCTCTACAGTGATGCTGTAGGATATACTGTGTAACTGGCTTAGTGCTAGAGAATAAATATTGAAAAATAAACAATATAATGTTTTTAGAGTAAAACCAGGATCTGGACAAAATATTCTCTTTGTCTTCATAAACAAAAAAGTACAGTAACAGAAATTTTTTTGAGAAAATAAAACACCCTCCGAATGTCTAGTTTTACACATATGACTTTATACACCTTGTGCAAGATTTTCTTGATTCCTCCCTGCTGCTGCTGGGCTCTGCTGTCAGATTGGTGACTTTAGAGGGGCAGATTACCAAATTCTGCAGAGACCAAGTCCAGGTGAACCAAGCAGAGAGAGCCAGACTGTGCCTAGGGCTCATCAGAGCAGAGAGATATCCATGAACTAAATTCCACTCCCTGATGTCTCTTCAGAGGGGGAAGCAGGTTCCCAGCTGACACCACACAGAAAGGAAAAAGCTCCTACATGGTTTGCTCACAAGCTCCTGCTCTAGAGGAGACACAACTTGTAATCAAATTCCTGATTCTCAGTCCAGAATTAATTTTTCTGCACTTTTTAAAA